CAACCCCCCTCCCCTGTTATCCCCTCATTCCCCCAGGGAGGGTGAGGCCCTCCATGGGGGTGTCCATAGTCTGTCATTTCATATAGGGCAGGGCCTAGACCCTTCCCCAAGAGTTCAGGGTGAGAGTGCACCTCACAATTTTCTATGGGATTCCAAAGTCCGTGCGTATACTTGGGATGGGTACTGATCTGCTGCCCAAGGCTCAATAGATTCCCTAGGCATCTTCACTGACACCCAGATTCAGGGGGAATGGATCAGTCCCATGCTGGATTCCCAGATGGATGCCTGTGATTCAAGAGTTAACCTTTGTCTGGTCAGCTGTTTCTGGGGGTTAAACCAGCCCAGTCTTTATCCCTTTGATCATCAGTACTCCCTCTCTGATACTGGCTTTCTTGAGTTCAGCTCAGTACTTAACCAGCCACTAAATGAAGTTTCTGTTTCCCAGTCTCTCTGGCCATAGGATTGTAGGCTGGCACTCCCCAGATCTATGTCTAAAATCCATATATGAGAGAGTACATGCCATGTTTCTCTTTTTGTGACTGGGTTACCTCACTCAGGATGGTTTCTTCTAGTGTCATCCATTTGCCTGCGAATCTCATGATTCCGTTATTTTTTTCTGCTGAATAGTACTCCATTGTGTAGATGTACCACATTTTCTCTATCCACTCTTCGGGTGAGGGACATCTAGGTTGCTTCCAAGTTCTGGCTATTACAAATCAAGCTGCTATGAACATAGTGGAACAGACATCTTTGTTGTAAGAATGGGCATCTTTTGGATATATGCCTAAGAGTGGAGTTGCTGGGTCTTGTGGTAGGTTTATTCCCATTTTTCTGAGGAATCTCCATACTGCTTTCCAAAGTGGCTGAACCAGTTGGCCCTCCCACCAGCAATGGAGGAGTGTCCCCTTTCACCACATCCTCTCCAGCATAAATTGTCATTGGTGTTTTTGATTTTAGCCATTCTGACAGGAGTGAGATGGTATCTCAGAGTTGTTTGATTTGCATTTCCCGGATGGCTAAGGATGTTGAGCACTTTCTCAAGTGCCTCTCAGCCGTTTTAGACTCCTCTATTGAAAACTCTCTACTTAGTTCTGCAGCCCACTTTTTAATTGGGTCCTTTGCTGTTTTGGAGACTTGCTTCTTGAGTTCTTTGTAAATTTTGGAGATCAACCCTCTGTCAGATGTGGGATTAGTGAATATTTTTCCCATTCTGTGGGCTGCCTTTTGTCTTGCTGACTGTGTCCTTTGCCTTACAGAAGCTTCTGAGTTTCAGTAGGTCCCATTTATTAATTGTTGATCTCACTGTCTGTGATACTGGTGTTATGTTCAGGAAGCTGTCTCCTGTACCAATTCGTTCAAGGGTACCACCCACTTTCTCTTCTAAGAGGTTCAGTGTGGCTGGATTTATTTTGAGGTCTTTGATCCATTTGGACTTAAGTTTTGTGCATGGCGATAAACATGGATCGATCTGCATTCTTCTACATGCCAGTCTTCAATAATGCCAGCACCATTTGTTGAAGATGCTTTCTTTATTCCATTGCATATTTTTAGCTTCTTTGTCAAAGATCAGATGTTCAGTACGTGTGTGGGTTAATACCCGGATTTTCAATTCGATTCCATTGGTCTACCTGTCTATTTTTGTGCCAATACCAAGCTGTTTCCAGGACTATAGCTCTATAATAGAGCTTGAGGTCAGGGATGGTGATGCCTCCGGACGTTGCCTTGTTGAACAGGGTTGTTTTGGCTATCCTGAGTCTTTTGTATTTCCATACAAAATTGATTATTGTTCTTTCAAGGTCTGTGAAGAATTGTGCTGGGAATTTCAATGGGGATTGCTTTGAATCTGTAGATTGCTTTTGGCAGGATTGCCATTTTTACTACATTGATCCTACCTATCCAAGAGCATGGGAGATCTTTCCATTTTCTGAGGGCTTCTTTAATTTCTTTCTTTAAAGATTCAAAGTTCTTACGATACAGGTCTTTCACTTGTTTGGTTAGCGTTACCCCAAGGTATATTATGTTGTTTGTGGCAATTGTAAAGGGTGATGTTTCTCTGATTTCTCTTTCAGCCCTTTTATCATCTGTATACAGTAGGGCTACTGACTTTCTTGAGTTGATCTTGTAGCCTGCCACTTTGCTGAAGGAGTTAATCAGCTGTAAGAGTTCCCTTGTAGAGTTCTTTGAGTCATTGATGTAAACTATCATATCGTCTGCAAACAGTGAAAGTTTGACCTCTTCCTTCCCAATTTGTATCTCCTTGATCCCCCGTTGTTGTCGTATGGCAATAGCTAGAACTTCAAGTACCATGTTGAAAAGGTATGGAGAGAGTGGACAGCCTTGTTTTGTTCCTGATTTTAGAGGAATTGCGTTGAGTTTCTGTCCATTTAGTTTGATGTTGGCTGTTGGTTTACTGTATATGGCTTTTATTGTGTTTAAGTATGTCCGTGTTATCCCAGATCTCTCCAAGACCTTTATCATGAAGGGGTGTTGGATTTTGTCAAAGGCTTTTTCAGCATCTAGTGAGATGATCATGTGATTTTTGTTTTTCAGCTTGTTTATATGGTGGATTACGTTGATGGATTTTCGTATGTTGAACCATCCCTGCATCCCTGGGATGAAACCTACTTGATCGTGGTGAATGATTGTTTTGATGTGTTCTTGGATCCGATTTGCGAGTATTTTATTGAGTATTTTTGCATCAATGTTCATGAGGGATATTGGTCTGAAGTTCTCTTTCTTGGTTGTATCTTTGTGTGGCTTGGGGATCAAGGTTATTGAAGCCGCATAGAAAGAGTTTGGCAAAGACCCTTCTGCTTCTATTGTGTGGAACACTTTGAGAAGAATTGGTATAAGCTGTTCTTTGAATTTGTGGTAGAATTCTGCACTGAGGCCATCTGGACCTGGACTTTTTTGGTTGGGAGACTTTTGATGACAGCTTCTATTTCCATAAGGGTTATAGGTCTATTTAAATTGCTTATCTGTTCTTGATTTAGTTTTGGCAAATGATAGCTGTCCAGGAAGTCATCCATTTCCTTTAAATTTTCCAATTTTGTGGAGTACAGGTTTTCAAAGTATGGCCTAATGATTCTCTGGATTTCCTCAGTGTCTGTTGTTATGTCCCCCTTTTTATTTCTAATTTTGTTAATTTGCGTGTTCACTCTCTGCTGTTTGGTAAGTTTGGACAAAGGTTTGTCTATCTTGTTGATTTTCTCAAAGAACCAACTCTTCGTTGCGTTGATTCTTTGTATTGTTTTCCTGGTTTCTACTTTATTGATTTCAGCCCTCAATTTGATTATTTCCTGGCGTCTACTCCTCCTGGGGGAGTTTGCTTCTTTGTGTTCTAGAGCTTTCAGCTGTGATGTTAATTCTCTGGTATAACTGTTCTCCTGTTTCTTCATGTGAGCATTTAGCGCTATGAACTTCCCCGTAGCACTGCTTTCAAAGTGTCCCATAGGTTTGGGTATGTTGTGTTTTCATTCTCATTGAATTCGAGGAAGTCTTTAATTTCTTTTTTTATTTCCTCTTTGACCCAGGGATGGTGCAGTTGAGCATTATTCAATTTCCATGAGTTTGTAGGTTTTCTGCAATTTGTGTTGTTGTTGAATTCTAATTTTAAAGCATGGTGGTCTGATAAGATGCATGGAGTTTTTCCAATTTTTTTGTAGCTGCTGAGGTTTGATATGTTGCCAAGTATGTGGTCGATTTTTGAGAAGGTTCCATGTGGTGGTGAGAAGAAGGTATATTCTTTTTTATGTGGATGAAATTTTCTATAGATATCTGTTAATCCCAGTTGGGTCATTACTTCTATTAGACCCTTTGCTTCTTTGTTGAGTTTCTGTCTGGTATTCCTGTCTAGTGGTGAGAGTGGTGTGTTGAAATCTCCCACTATAACTGTGTGGGGCTTTAGATGAGATTTAAGTTCTAATAATGTTTTTTTAACGAATGTGGATGCCTTTGAATTTGGGGCATAGATGTTCAGAATAGACACTTCCTCTTGGTGGGTTTCACCTGTGATGAGTATGTAATGACCTCCTTCATCTCTTTTGATTGATTTTATTTTAAAGTCTAGTTTGTTAGATATTAGGATTGCTACCCCGGCTTGTTTCTTGGGTCCATTCGATTGAAAAATTTTTCCCAACCTTTAATTCTCAGGTAATGTCTGTCTTTAAGGGTGAGGTGTGTTTCCTGTATGCAGCAGAAGGAAGGGTTCTGTCTTCGAATCCAATCTGCTAGTCTGTGTCTTTTTATGGGTGAGTTAAGGCCATTAATATTGAGGGATATTAATGACCATTGATTGCTCATCCTTCTTCGATTTGCGATGGTTGTTGTTGGTGGAATTATGTGTGGAATTTCACCCCTTTGTTCTTTTGGCTGTTGGTAGAAAGAGAATCTCTAATGCTTATGTTTTTCTGGTTGTAGTTAGCTTCCTTGGGTTGGAGTTTTCCTTCCAAAATTTTCTGTAGGGCTGGGTTAGTGGACACATATTGCTTGAATCTAGTTTTGTCAGGGAATATCTTGTTTTCTCCGTCTATAGTGATTGAGAGCTTTGCCGGGTAGAGTAGTCTGGGCTGGCATCCGTGGTCTCTTAGTGTAGGTAGAATATCTATCCAGGACCTTCTGGCTTTCAGCGTTTCCATGGAGAAATCAGGTGTAATTCTGATAGGTCTGCCTTTATATGTTACTTGACCTTTTTCCTTAGCTGCTCTTAATATTCTTTCTTTATTCTGTATGTTTGGGGTCTTGATTATTATGTGGCGAGGGGATTTTTTTTTGTGGTCCACTCTATTTGGTGTTCTGTAGGCTTCTTGTACCTTCATTGGCATGTCTTTCTTAAGGTTGGGAAAGTTTTCTTCTATGATTTTGTTGAATATGCCTTCTGCCCCTTTGAGCTCGATTTCTTCTCCTTCTTCTATACCTATTATTCTTAGGTTTGGTCTTTTCATGGTGTCCCATATTTCCTGGATATTTTGTGTTAAAATAATGTGATTTGTTTTCTAACACTACAGGGAAACTGAGTCTCTGGAAGGGCCCAACAAAAATGGATCCAAACAAACTTTCAATGGAAGAGGGCAAGGAATTCTTAAAACTGTGTGGGATCCCACAAAGAGATGTAAGTATGGGCAAGGTTGGTTAAAAGAGGTTACATGGAGTGAGGTAGAGTACGATTTTCAGTTTCCTTTAAACAGCAACATAACCCATGTCCTAAGTGTATACAAATGTATTTTCAGGAAATAAGGCAGGCACAGTAACTGCAACAGTGGTCATTTCCCCAAGGGAACATTTCTACTAACTCCAAACTCACCTTTTAAACTCTCATTATTTGAAAAGTACTTGCTAATTTGCAGTCTAATCTAGTGGGAATGATTTCAGACTTTTGAACCTAAAAGATAGAAGTAACTAGAAAACTGTTTATATTCTCCAGGAAAGACTTCTTCCCACCATGAAACACCAAATAATTTTCTCTTTCTTTTCCTCAGATCGATTTGATGACAGAGAAATGGGAAGTTGTTGCCTCTGTGGAGGCTTTGATTCGATTCCCACTGCTGCCAGGGGAAGACCCCACAGCCCGTTGCATTTCGAAGAAAAACAATCAACCTGCAGTGTCCCAACGAGACCGGATTCCACAAAATAATGAAGACCAAGAAAAGAGGTAGGAAGTCACTTAAGTTGGGAGGGACCTCGGGAAAACAGCTGCCTATGGCATGTAGTTGAGTACCACTATTTTATCTTTGCATGAATAAAGGCTTTTCATTGATGAGTGATCTTGTTTTCATAAAGTGCAGATGAAACTACTGTTTTTTAATCAGGAATTATGTCAATCTTAGCTACATACTCTCACCAGACAAAATTGTTTTTTAATTATTTGAGACATACATTTTGGTAAATAGAACTCTATCACTGAGTAAGCCTTGGAACTTGAAATCACATTGTCATAAGATTCCTAATATTTGAGATTACAGGTCTGTGTCATCTGGCATATGTCCTTCTGGATCTATTTGTTAACTGTTTGGTATAAATTGCACAGTATTTTAGCTTACATATTCATCCTCAGCTTGGTTGTCCAGGCAAGTGTTGGTGTAATAATCTACGTGAAGATAAGTATATGGTTATGTGTTTCTTTTCTTTTTTTCGGTTTTTCGAGGCAGGGCTTTGCTGTAATTTTTTAGACTATCCTGGACCTCGTTAGGTAGACCGGGCTTTGTCTTAAACTCACAGATATCCACCTGCCTCTGCCTCCCAAGTGCTGGGATTAAAGGCATGTGCCATCACAGCCTGGCTGTTTATGTGTTTCTGATTGTGAAGCTTAACTGTATTTACAAGTAACCCAACTGAGACTCACAATGCATAGATGGGGCTTATGGGTGTAAAAGTAAACAGAAAATTATTATCAGCAATTATGCCGAAAAAAATAAATTTGCTTGACTGTTTATTTGTTTGAGAAATAGTCTGATCAACAGCTACTTAGATGCTGGTATGGTGGTGTATGCCTCTATTGAGAGTATTTATAATTGAGAAAGAAATAGATTTTGGTAATTCATATCTACAACCAACATTACAGCCCAGTTGACACTAATCAAATGTAACTTAAAAAAAGAACAGGGTTTAGAGAGAAGGTAAAATGGCTGAAAGCAGTGACTACTTTTGAAGAGTGTCCACTTTCTCTTTACTGCACACAAACAGCATTTCTACTTCCTCCCCCAGGGTACTGAACACAGTCATCTGACCTCTGTAGACATCAGGCAAAAACATGGTTCAGACTCATGTTAGGAGTCGGCAAGCTTAAATCTACGTTAGAAAATATAATCTTAAAAGTAAAGAAAAAACAAATTAAAAATAGTAGGAAGCAAGCAATTTTGTGTAAGAAACAAAACTGGGAGGAAAATCAGGGGAAAAATCATTACAAACTGTAGTGTATGCACACATACACAACAATTTCACTCCTATTAAGTCAGATGGTATTTTCTCAGTAGATTCACAGTAGGCTAAATGTGAGATTCTGGGAACAGGGATATCAGGTCTGAGTGTTCCAAAGTATGGTGTGTTTGACACTAGTTAGGAAATCACTCTAAATTCTGCATCCTAAATTATAGACCAAACACATATCCATGTGACTTCTCTTTCCTTATCCCATAACTAGGAAGAACAATAATCAATCACTGAAAGATTTTGACAAGAAGCCACATGTTACAAAGGTGATGACAAGGCATTGCATAGAAACTCCTTCTGAAAGACCCACTGGAGAAAAGATTCAGAAGATAAACTGCTTTGGAGCAGTGAGAAAAAGGACTAAGCCCGAAGAGGAGAAAGAAACAACGGTAAGTGCATCTGGAATGTTGGGAAACGTTTGTACTATGTATACTTTAGAAAGTGTATTTAAGCATTTTGCTGTGTGTCTATAACTTACTTTCTCTAATAGAAGCTATGTAATCTGGGCAGTCCTCTTCTCTCAACTTATTGTCCAATGAGAGCATCTGATATGCTCCCTTGTACATGCTCAATATCATGAGTAGCCTGATATTTGCCCAGATTACCGTCTGCGCGTTTTGAATGGCATATATTTACCTATGCACTCAATGCTGAATGAGCTAGGAACTTAGTGCCTCATGCATTCTAAGCATGAGTGTTTTGCTTAAGCAAAACCCAGAATTTACTGATGTATTCTTGTAATGCTCACTACCAATTGCCTTTTCATAGATTGGAGAATTTTATCCAATTGCTCTACACTTGAACTGTATCACCAACCTTCATTTTAATTTTGGCATTTAGGCCCCATGTCTCCAGCTTTCACTGGTTGACCTGAATCTACCTGAGTGGACAAAGTTTTATTTAAACACATGTTCCTCTCCCTGGATATTTCTGAGTGCTATTTTCAATGTTGGGAGGCACACTATGCTAGCCACAGTAATTATTTATAATCACATTTATTTACATGTGCAATACTGTAAGCAATGTGCCCTGTGAATGAGTGCAGAATTCCTGTCATACTTGGCAGATAAGGGAGTACAATTTGAGGCTGTATCCTACAAGAAATTTTGAATAACACTGAAAGATTTTGTAGGAATTGATAATTATGTCACATTGTATCTAACCCTATATGGACTCTTCTGTCAACACAGGTAAAAAGCAAGAAATGTTGCTCATTTGCACACACAGCAAGGAGCAAGATGTGTCTCCTAAAACACTGGCATGAAGCCCTTCCTGTACAGCCTCTGGGTTCTAACAATCAGAAAGAGATGATGAAACCAATGGAGGTCAAGCAGTACCAGTCTCCAGAAATATTTAAAATGACTGAGGACAAGGATAAAGAAAGAAAAATGTGAGCATGGAACACAACTAAAATTACACATGAGCATGGCACATATGAAGATGATGTTTTTTCATTGTAAACAGATATCTCAGGACACACAAAAAAACACCCACCATTTACAACAGAGAATAGTGCCCTCTGCTCTTGATTGTTGGAAATCCACAAAGAGGAGAGAGGGATAGATCTGGGAATGTTGCCCACTAAAGACAGAGGACCAGTAGCATCAATTGAAAGAATGCAGTTGTGTCCTGTGTCTTAATCAGGGGCATTTGCATTATAATATGTAGACTAGGCCGGGTTCCAGCACGACTCCCATGTCAACAAAGTTGTAGATACTGGTAAATCAAGCCAAGGGCAGATTGGTAAATGTGGATCAGAAATTCATGGTCTTCATCAGGCATCTCGTGTTGTAGAGGATTCTCTGTATTATAGTACATGCTGTTTGAATTTACTATAAGCCCTGTGTAAATCCAATAACTGAGTGGGTAGAAAGTTGATGTTTTCACATCTTGAGAAAAAGATGGTACTCCGTCATATAAGTAAATTTCATTCTGGCTTCAATAACTCCTCACTCTCAACAAGGCTGGTATTAACTTTGAGATAGTGATTGATCTTAGTATTTAATACTATGTGTTCTGCAGGCAAGAAGTGCTTCAAACGAAAACTCTGCCAAAGGTATCTTCGAGAAGCTCCTCAAAGAAGAAAATGAGCAGCGAGGAAGAAACTTGTTTCTTTTTGAGGGTGAGTCTCCCTTGTTTCACTGCTGTGTTTCTCTTGGGTGGCATCCATCTCTGCCGCTCAGATGTATCCCTGGTGTTGGCATTTTAGGAGGGAGCAGGCATGCTTATTGCACTTCTCTGTCATTTTCTGCTGGATTTTTTTCCATTTTCTCAATTCTCAACCTCTTATTTCCTGCAATTTACTTACCTCTCTAACTTTATTCTTGTATTTATTTTCTTCATCTTATGCCCTCCACATATTCTTTCCCCATCTCTTCTCTAAATTCCTGTGGTACCATTCATACCACCTTACATTTCTCCACTTCCCATTGTTTCCTGTCTATTCTTTACCTTTCTCTTTTGCTTCTTGGGAACAGGGAATTCTGTCTGCTGAGCTTGATCATGCTCTTCAACTGAGATTGTCCTTCCTCACCAGATTACCTCAGTTGGCATTCCCACATACTGGGATCACAAGTGTATAAAGTTATGCCTACCATGTTTTAATTTTATGGAGTCACAGATGTAACTTCCCATTGTTTGTAATTTTACTGCCTCTACTGTCACTGTTGCATATTCTGAGACCACAGACTTTTGTCAACTCATATGTCTTTAAGTATCTTTATTTCAATATGCACTATTATTTTGATTCTATGCCAATAAACGTTATGGAAGATTTCTCTGTATGTGTGAAGTGTTTCACCTCATTGTGAATGATAGTACACTAAGCTCATATCTGTCATGTTTATTTAGAATCTGACTGTCTGTGCATGAAAGCATGCCTGTGCCCCAAACTTAACAAAACCTGAGGAAGTGCTTCATTAGTTTGGTCTATCTAAACAAGAGAATTTCTTGACATTCCCTATTTAATTAAAAGACTCAGAGTGACATCTCTGAGGCAAAAATTCTCATTCTTTTATCAAGTTGTGCAAGTTGTGCTTTTGTTTTTAGCATCATTTATTTACTGTGCATAAACGTTTTGCCTATCTGTATGTATGACTGGTGTACCCTTATTATATAGTGTCTTAGGAAGACAGAACCTTATATCAGATCTCAAAATCTGAAATTACAGACAGTTATGAGACCCTATATGGGTCCTGGGAAGTTAGAAAGCAACATGTTCTCTTATTCTCTTAGTTTCCAAGTCCCAGTTCAAAATATTTTTGTTGCACATCCTGTGATTCAGGAAAGACTGTAGTCAATCTGTGACATTTAACGCGTTTTGCTTTCCCCCCATGGATTATACTTCTTTGTCCCATCTCCTCTTGTTGGTATGGTGTCTGTGTAGCTGTGCTAGGAATAATCCTAATGTATGTGTTTTCCTGTTCAATGTTCCCCAAAATATATTCAACCAGTCCTGTTATTTATCTTTAGTTCTGTATCCCTGCAAAACATTGGGCTTTGCTGTGAAACTGTCTTGCATACAGCTATTGCATTTTCCCTTATGCCATATGTGCCATATAAATATGTCCACAACACTCCTCTCCCCTGATCCTACTCTTGGTTTCCCAATGGTCCAAACTTTCCAAAAAGTGTGTATCCCAAAATTTCTATGTAGATAATAGTAATTAGAGTGCTCTTCACTTAGGATGGAAACTTTAAGGTGCAGGCAAGTAACCATAGAATATTTTAATCACAGAAACCTACCAGGCCATCGATATCTTACATGACCAAGAAAAAAAGAACATCGGGTTCCTGTCTCCAATGATCGACCAATAATCAAGACTCCTGATTAAGAACAACCACTCCCTCATCTTTTTCCAAAAAAGGACAAGAACAGACCAGTTATTGATGAATGCAAGCACATAATATGGGATTTTCAGACACTCTGGATTCCAATTTGAGGAAATGCAATAATTCCATCTCAGGCTCAGGTGTAACATCCCAAAGTTTGTTTGTTTTCCCCAAATGTGCTCCTCAGCCTAATGAGAAGACACCTGTTTTAGTGCATAACATTAAAGTCCAGACAACTATGAAACATCCTGGTATAGCTTCAATTTCCTGTGTGCACTTTGTGAGACCAAACTGTGACTGGGATTCTGTGGTCAGAATAAAAGCTCCAGGAAAGGAACTTCTCCAATTCACCAGTCAGGACAGCCGGGGTCAGCCAAAGAAACGTCGAATCAGCTCTTGCCTGAATCCCAGTATGAGAAATGTGATACATGAGTTGGGGTCTGTCCAGGAGTCCCAGACTGCTGTTAGTAAATCTGATGTCATGTTCAACAGTAGACCAACATGAGTTCAAAGAAACCTGTATCGAAGCCCAGTCTCCCAAGCCACATTCCGGATGTCTCTTCTTATCCAAGATCTATCAAATACATAACAGTCTCACAGTGCACACAGTCAGGCAGGCACAACACACCTTTAAGCTTATGAATGGACAAGAATCAATGATTGGCTACAATGACTGAGATTCCTGAAAACACCAAGTCTTTTCTCAGAACTGGTTTTATTTAGAGGACCCTGAGATCTTTGACTGCATTACCATAAGAAGTACTTCCTGCTGTCATCCTCCTCAGAAAATAGCGTTGAGTAGAGTCACATCAGCTTCAATATAGAATGTTCTGTTGTGAACCGAGTTGACTCCAGGACTGCGAAGAAAGTGCAGACAGTGTTAAACCGAGCATCTTGAGATAACCTTTCTTGAGAGAGCTCAAGGAGTTACCTGATCAGGAAACAGATATAAGGTGTCAAAATGAAAGAAAGAGCAGACCTTGCCTCTAGATACCAACACTCTGAAGTTTCTTTCTCTATGATAATTACATGTAATTCTTCCCTCTAAATCCTCCCCTCTCTTACCAAAATCTTGGGGATAATATATGTAGTCTCATTTAATAAATGATTCTAAACCTAATCACTGTTTTGAGATTGTTGTTTACTTGGATTGGAATATGTTCACCCAAGAATAATCTGTATTTTTGATCAGCATCTGATACCACTGAGACAAGCTACAGAAAATGTGTTCTTAGATATACATCTCTGTCCTTATTTTGTTTTAATTTCTGAGATGATGTTAGCCTGTGATACTAATATTAGCAAGAACTCACTGTTTTTCCTGGGCTGGGATGGACTGTGAGCATCTCTCCTCCCTCAACATCCTGTGTGCTACATTATGAGATGCAAGATATGTCTGAGCATTACTCATATGTACACAATAATTTCTGAGAGCTCTTTGGCTCCTGTATGTAAAACAATGCTGCTCTGAACCACCTGAAATACAAAGATCAGAATATCTTCGTTAATGGATCTATGAGACCCAATCACTGCCATGAACCTGCTCTTTAATCTAAGAGCTGTGCCACAACTTTCACAGGCAATTCACCTGTCTTGAATTTAGAAGTTTGATGCAGGAGGATTGTTTGAGATATTTCTTATTGTTATAGGTTTCCTGAGGATGCAGGGCAGTTGATAGATTCTTTTTCTAACATGTAATCTTTTAATGTAGCTGGTTTCAGAGTATACCTTCAAATGTGGTTCAGGGATACACTGTCCAGTAACTGATAGAAGCAGATGCATTGATGTATATACAGGAATTGTGCTGAGGTCTGACTTTTTTTTCAAAGAAATGGGAGAAGTTATTCTATATGGCATGGAGTCATGATGGTATTACATATAGACAATTGACTTTAGGTTTTGGAGATTATGGATGCTGGACCAAAAATCAGGGAAGCTGCATGTTATATCCCTAGGACCTCAGCTGCATGTGTGTGACAATTGTGTAGCATGTTCTCTTAGTAAAGTTTCTAAGATGAAAGCAGAATTTTGCGTGGCATTTAGCTGATTTTGGTCACCTGTTCCCTAGCAGGATTACCTGCTCTTGTCTTGAGGTAAGGATAGTAATTCATTCCGGCCGCTATTTCATGTGCCACATTGTGTGGGAGCCCATTGAAGGCTTTCTGAAAGAGACAGATGAGGAGTGAATGGAGATTGGCTACTTTGGAATGAGGAGCAATGGGAAGAATGGAAAAATTGTTGGTACGTAAAATAATTGAAAAAAAGGTATTCAAGTGATATAAAAAAGCCACTAAAAATAAAAAAGAAAGTAACAAACTTTTAGAATATTTGAAGGATAGAATTCACTAGAAGAGTGTTGGATTTACTTAACAATGAATCTCATCTATTTTTTCCCTTTTCCCAGGTTTTTGGAACCAGACTGTCCTAACAAGGAATTCTGAACCAGGTCCTTCATGTTCCTTACTTGGGTGGAGTGTTGCAGATGTGCAGCCTGGGGTCCATTTGTGAATTTTCAGATACCAACAGGTTTTGTGTGTGCTAGAGATAATCTACCGTCTGGAGAACACAACAGCAATTTTCTGCATAGTATTTTGTATTATTTTGGTAGAGACATACCTCCTCATAAGAAAAACTATTCTAGTTTGACTCCAGGTTATATCAAGTAAGGAATCAGTTGTGTGGTTATTTTGCTGATGTAAATTTGTTTTATCTGTTTGGACTGAAAGTTAGTATGTAGTCCCACATGGCTGAAAACTTTTTATATACCTCTCTCAGACATTGGTATATGGCCATCAAAGGCCTAAACCATAAAAATTCTTCTGGTTTAGATACGATTCTTATTTTATAGCATAGACTTTACTTTAAATCACTCTGTTGATGAATTTTCCTGATTTAGCATCTCAATGACTGATACTCATTGTGTGAGCCTCTGTGGAATCACTGTCATTTGTTTGCTTATGTTTCATAGTTTTTATTTTTATTAGACAAGATCTTCTTTGGTTCAGAATAGCTTGGATTTCACTAAGGAGCAGGTGTAGTACACACTCTTTTAGATGTCTAGTTTTGAATTGTAAAAACAAAATAAGAGTCATAAACACAGCAAGGTCTTACTATAGGCATATTGTGAGGGACCGGTTAGACATGTATACACATGAAGACATCCTCAATTTATCTAGGAAGTGTATGTTGTTTCCAATGAAGGCAATACATCACACAAGCTGTAGGATGTAAAGAAATATACTAGGAAATAATTCAAACATCAGAACAAGGGAATCATTTGAACTTAACAATTTGAAACTGTATATGAGAATAAGCCACCCTTGGGGTGTGAAACGGAGATGAAGAATGAATCTACCAGCAATGCTAATGGAGCACAAAACAAGTGAAGGAAGGATGTCTGGGAGGGAACACCTGTGAATAAGAAGAGGGTATATGTTACATGGGTATAAAAACAACATTATGAATTCCATTTTTTTACCATCGTGTATTAACATTGGATTGCTTGAGGAAATATGTTCTAAATTTATAGTTACATATATTGTATATTAAGTGTGTGACTGTTTTTGCTTATTTATGTATTTACTCTTGACAAAATGGGTCTTGATCTCCATGGTGAAGGAAGAATCCAGTGGATCACCAGGGACTTGAATAAGTTTTTAATTGTTATTTTGATTGAGCATGCCATAGCACACACTTAGAAATCACAAGACTGCCTTATAGTGTTAACATTCTCCTCTTAGTATAGAGATTCTCATTATGACAAATATGCAGACAGCAAATTTAACTGCTAGTCATTCTCAAAGATGTTTTTCTGTTTGTTTCATTGTTCAAAGGCAGGTGTGCATAGCAGGATAATGATTCAGTCATTTGAGAGAAGGAATGCATGACTGTGTTGGAAAATGAATGTATTAGGTACATATCGAACTGGTCTTTATTAAGAACACAATCCACAAGCAGGATGAAATTCCTGTGATGAAGATTGTTTGGTGAATTTCTTTTCCAGCATGAATCTTGCCTTTGGATTACCACAAAACAACCTGAAAATCAATTGTCCAGGAAGTCTGTTGCATATTGTGTAAAACAACTTTCCACCATTGTCATAGAAATGAATGAGGGCATGGTTTTCTTGTAGGGTAGGCACAAAGAAGCTTCTTAAAAGTGTTTTGAGTGAAAGTATTACTTTCAGTGCATGTTTCCATAGTATCTGCCTTCCTGATATTCAAGATGAGCTTCCAGACACAAATCTTTTTACATAAAATGGCAAGAAGTTGTGGGCAGAAAAATAAACCTTGGGTATCTCTGTTATGTAAGCCCTCCCAGCTGATAAATTCTCAGCAATTTTCTTCCCATCAATACTGGCAAAGAAACTCATATCCTGATAAGGATGATCTCATTATGGCCTTCCAAGCATTCCTTTATCTTTCCTTATTAATGCTCCCCACATTGAGATATTGAAGCTGGTAATGTGAATACAGGAATTTTGATTGACAAATGGTTCAACCTAAGTAATTGAGACTAAGTTAGCATGCAGAGGAAGGGTGTCAAGGGTTGGAAGTGAATACAGAGTTCTTATTGTGGAACAAAGTGAATTAGAATAGTCTAATATGACTAAATAGGAGAAGTGAAATATAAAAAGCCAATTTTGGGTGGAGCACAGCACAGAAAAGATGTAGTCAACTTGGAAATTCTCTGTAACTACCTCATTGCACAGATATAGAAGAAGAAACAACATGGATTCAAGGAATAGAATAGAGGGAAGCTGAGATGTGGGGTCAAAGTGGATTATAAATTGTGTCTGCTGTCATATGAATATCCCTCCAGGTTGACCCATAGGAGGTAGAATCTACAAGTGCTTGTTGCAGTTTGGATATTCTTTTGGTCATATTTTGCAAATGAACTAAAAATAAAGCTTTTCTTAATATCAGAGTGCGAAGGTAGCCACAGTACTCATTAATACATGTCATTAATGGTGGCCCACAACTTTAACGGCAGCACTAGACAGGAGGAGACAGAAGTCAGTCTTCAGTCACATTAAGAACCGGATCACACATTTGGCCTGAGCCTGGACAGAGATAAGAACTCTTCAGTGGTTGATTGTTTATCCTTTCTGATCATCAGGTGAAATAAAATATCCGTCTCTGGGTTTTATTATTCATGATTATTCTGTGCCCAACTTCTGTGGTACAAATTCTTGACAACACTGTTTTCCTATGGCTTTGAAGCCAGGAGAACAGGCCAGAGATGCAACCAGGACTCCCATCAGATTCACTGACCAGACTGCTATGTTTTCTTTCCTTTTCCCCTCAACCTCTGAGTGAGTTTGTCATTTTCCTGTTGTAGCATCTCTCACACAGTTTCCAAATGCCAAAAAAATTCCAAAATCACCTGGGTTCCAAACTCCTCAGGGCATATCAATGCTAGACCAGTTATCTCTGTCTTCATAGTACTCCTGCCAAACAGGTGTTTTTTTCCATATAACCCTGAGTGTGGATTTTCAGATTGTCCTTCTGTCTCTCCCTCCCATCCTCTCCCTGTAAAGGGAAGCTGGAAAAATTTTCCTTGCTAGCCGCTTTGGTTTATCACCTGCCAGTCACCTGGGCTCTGCCACATTGTAGTCCCCAAATAACACACAAGACACTGTATTAATTATGAAGCTGTTGGCCTTGTTTGTTTCTTACCGGCTAGCTCTGACTTAAGTAATTACCCTATAATTGTTAATCTAAATATTTCTTTTACTGGAGAAATTTCCAGGCTTCCTACCCCATGGCGTTATATCATGACTCTCTGTCTTTCTCCTTCACAGAGTTCT